GATGAGCCCATCACTGAGTAGCAATTACTAATTAAAAAACACTAAATAATATAGCCGAGAAAGTTAATGAAAATGTGCAGATAAAGCAACCCATTTTCACTGAGGTTGTTAGGATTGAGCTTAGAAGTAAACAAAAAAATGCCAAACACAACTATAAACAAAAAATAAAAATATTGATCTTAAGTGTTTAAAAAATCTAATGCTCGCTTTGGGAATAATGATCTAATTTATTGCTGTGGCGATGATGAGAAGAAGAGGGCTAAAAAAGAGTTATCAAGAATCTAAGAAAAACGAGACTATGACTCCTGGTGAGCTTAATCTCCGGTTCAAGACGGTGATATTCCTTTTTATTAGGTAATTTTTAAATCATAAAACTCTATTCAAGCCCGTAAATGATAGTATAGCTCAACAACTTGACGAGGTAAGAACTCGAACGGTCATTTGTACAACGCTTTTCAGGCGTTGGACAAAGTTTCGATTTCCTACGAAAACACAATACTTTGCAGCGACTTTAATGTTGGCACGTAGATAAAAAATCGCGTGCCAAGCAGTTGCGATCCTCCACATCAACTGCTGATTTGAAATTGGTTAATTATCACTCCACATATTATTCCCCATGTTGGAAGCTATTTTTTTAGACCTCATTTTTGTTCTTGACAGTTCCCTAATCATACATTGTGACCAATTCCACATTGGTGACTAATCATGAGGAGTCGGCTTTTGTTATGAATAATAAATAATAATAGTTGTGATACTCGTACATGAATATTGTTTACTTGCACGGATTTTAAGCCAATTGATATGCAATGGTTAATGTGTGCCACCTCTCAAAATTGCTGAAGCAATGCTCTGAACGTTGCTGGTATTAATGGCAACTTATCTTACTTAACATAAAGGCTATCACAGTTATTTAATGAGTGTGTACGAAGTTGGTACTTTTAAACCGCCTTGGTTTTCCAGTGATGGTAAAAGAATTGAACAACTCTCCGCAATGACTCCGCAATGGGGCACATAAAATTTGGAACGCTTCCTCAATGCGGTTAATTGAGAACTTTTCCGGAAATGGGACATTCCCAGTTCTTCCTGAAGATTTTCGTCCAACTAGCTTTCTTTCAACTCTATCAACTGTATGAACCGTTTATAATTGGCCAGATTGGGTTACATTTGAACCTTCTATCTATCTACCTTAATAATTAACCGAGTTATTCACGTCTTCATACTTGCAGTCCTGGAATGCCTAAAGTTTTGGAGGATATCCGCCCGATGTGTGATAAGCAGGGCTTGACCATTCTTGTTATGATTGATTTGTCCAAGGCCTTTGATAATGTACAACACAATTTATTATTACAAAATCTTCAATTTTATTTTGGCTTGAAAACGTCCGCGATTTATTTTTTAATTAGGCCTAATTTGGAAAACGCTTATTAACGTGTAAGAATGATTACATCTGGGGTCCCATCCCATGCGATCTATCTTATTTAGTACCCCTATAAACGACTTCGTTACATGTTGTCATAATTACTGCATCCACTTATATGCTAAATAAATGAGAATTTAAATAATATTATTCTTTGGTCTGATCTCATTAATTTTAAGTTAAATTCAAGTAAAAAAATAAAGTCACCATCTACAGTCTACGACTCCCATTCCTTACCACGTGCTAAAATGGTAAATGAGGATATTGAGTTTGTTAATGCGGTCACGAACTTTGGTTTCAAAGTTAACTCTCACTGGAGCGCTGAAACTGAAAAAACTATGGCTTTCCTCGTCTTATGTTACAATCTTCGCAAAAATAAAATCTAATTACATACCTTGTTCTACCACACAGATCGTAAGATGCATATACGCATATTAAGTACCTGCATGTCCATTTTTTCACTTGAAAAAGGTAGTTATTGAGAAAAACTGGTACAATACGCATTAAACAAAATATTTCCCATCATTTTCTATAACATTTTCCCATCTCTCTGGCAATAGGGCAATGCCGTGTTGAAAGGATAATATTGGTTTGGTAGCAATCCAATCATCGACTCATTTTCGCACTTCTTCCTCATTTCGAAACCGCGTGTCATCTGGTAATCAGAAGACGTTATGTCTGCTAAGTACGCTGAGTGCAGCAGAATTTCCCGCTCGAGTTGAAACCGTATATCCTTGACAACTCTTGCAACATGTGGCCGAGCGTTGTCATGCATGTTTATTTAATTCACGTCGGTAGGCATCTGCAGTAATAGCCCACAATTTACACTGCAAAACAATATAGCTATGAATACGCGGCTTCGGTGTCTCTTCTGGACTAGCCCATGACTGTTTGGGCTTGATATGATCGTTAATCACAATGCACCACAGAAAACGTTCCTGTTTTTATCTGGCAAGCAATGAAACCGCGATGTTGAAACGGTTGGGAATGACATTTTCAATCAATTCGTATCGTAGCCACTTTCTCTTTTGGATCACTCTCGTCGAATGTGAACGTCTAGAAATAGTTGATTCATCTACTGCTAATCTGTTTGAAATTTGTTCGAGAATTTAAGCTGGGTTTTCGTCTTGCAATTCATTGTCTTTGCCATTGGCATCAAAATCATCACTTTTAAACCGTTGAAATGAAAACCTCCAATTGCCATATGATGAAGCAGCGTCTCCATAAGCTTTCAGGAGGGTTTGATGGGCTTCGGCAGCAGGTTTTGTCAAATCACACAACAAAAGTAATGAATGCCGAAAATGCAATTTTCTATATAAACTGAATAACCCGATAATACTAAATTGAAAACTGTCATTTTATACAGAGAAAGGTCAAAATGATCGAATTTAATCGGTGCGTACATTAATACTTCACACTTCGTTTGTCATTTTCATCAATAGCTGTAGCTTGCCAACATACATGCAAACACCTATTATATGGCAAATTATACAATATTTCTAACAAAAAAATTGCTACGTCCAAAATAAACGTACCAAATACGTCTAATAAGCGAACGAATAAGCAAGGATATGGATAGCATATCGTAGTTTTTGCTACAGATATTGGGTTCCGATTTTCTGACTTAGCTTAAGACCACAAACGTGGTTTATCTCCGTAAACTTATCCCGGCGCGAAAAACAACATATTTACTTGAAAAAATTCAGCTCTAAACGGATAACGAATTTATTCCTATATTCCCGCAAGCACTTAAAATCATCAACGTTATTTATATTAAAATTATTGTTAGTGCGAGTAGATATAAAGTAATAATAAAGGCCTTTTATAGTTTATAAATCGTATCTGTATTTGGGATAATTTCTTTTATTGTACGATATTGTTATCTGCATCCTTATCCATACTTTTGCTCACGATTGTGCGGAAAGACACTTTTCAGTCCACACCAATTGTTAATTATAGTAATGACTATTATTGTGTAATTGAACAGTCATTAGTAAATATTATTCTTATTAATTAATAAATTAAAAGGAACTACGCTAAACACACATTGTTAAAGAAAACAAGGGCTCTAAATTTTGTGACAAACCAAGTGACGCATATTTGGAACAAGATATGTAGTCTTCATGTTGGATTGGATATACCAAATATCAGACGTGTGAAAGTCTAGTCGAATATTTGCAGTATACTGAAATACGTTTCACAGACCCTCTGAATTACATAACTCTTAAGAACGTAAACAATGAAGCCAATGAAATTAAATTTATATATTCGTCTGTTAAATCACGATTAAACCTCCATAACAACTTATAAGAAGAACGATGATGTCAAGATTTACCTTATTACTTTTGTAAAGTTGGAAAATGACTGCGATCCACTTACAAATATGGAAAATGCACACATATTTTTACCTACATTACGTACATACATTTTTAACTTTCTAGTTGTAATTTTGGGACACCTGTGATATTACCCCTACCAACTCTACTGAAATTCAATTGTCTATCATGCATGCCCCTTCTATTTAAATACAATTACTAATGCGTAATCGCTAATTTAATATAATAATTATTTTTCTGATTTCGTTCAGAATCTTTTTTAGTGTTCGATACGTCAAGAATACACAGTAGAAATAGCCTACACAAAAAGTTTCTAAATCGTAATCCATATTACATTGTCCTTTAGGTAAAGATAAGGAAGTCTACGAGATCCAGAATCAGTTCACCAAAATTCTTAGTCTCATTAAATCAATTTTTCGGTAACTAAATGGCATACAATCTTCAGATTTTATAGAACTACGTTGATTTTCTGTTGCGACCCTACTACTTTATGAACTTTTCAGCAGCACAAAAGTGCGTCGGGGCACGATATAAGTCGGTCCTGAATATGTACAGTGAGTCTCATAAATATTAGGTTTTTCGCTCGACAAAAAGTAAACGCTTGTTAAACCTTATCTATTGTCCAAACATAAAAATTTTCTTTACTAATTGTACTATCAGGGAATACATATTAAAATATTAAAAAAAAACAAAACTTTATTCCAGTAGACAAGAAAATTAAATAACTTCAACAACTCAAAAAACGTAGTGTTATTAATATTGGGGTTTTCTCATATAAGGAAGGATACGAAGATAAAAAAACCGCATATTATTAAAAATTATTATTCGGTGGGGTATCCTTTTTTCTTAATAACTTCGTTTAAACGTTTTGACATATTTCTTACAACTTTTCTGTAGTAAATTATGTTCTTGTATCAGCAGCTTACGGCGAACATTCCAACATTAATGAGACTCGCTGTATATTTTAAAAGATTTCTGATATCCTTAAGACATATTGCAAACGGAAACTTCAAATTAGTATATTGTTGATCAAAAATACTGTGAATACGAAAAACAAGTACACATTTGCATTTAACTTTAAAAACGCCACCATTCGCTCAATTATGTAACGAGGAAGGATTTCCTGTCTTTCCCTCTAATTATTCAGTATATTACCATGAAAGCAAATATGTTAAGCTAAGCCTTAGTTTATTGAAGTTATTGCATTAAATAACCACATTATCTTTGTTAACGAAAATAACACTTACACGTTTACTTTATGTCTGCCAATCGTTAAAGCATTTAGTCTTACCGTGTGTTGAGCCGAGCATATGCAACGATTACAAAAGCAAAAAATACGCGTATTTTATATCAATTTCCATTGTTTCGTCACTCCCACTAATAGCTTAATGCTGGCTACATAATTTTAATCGCCATGCCTCACTTACAAAACGACTAAATTGGATTTATTTACGACTTTTTCCTTGGCGTATTAATGATGTAATTGATGCAAAACTAGTATTGCTTTGGAATTTTGTGAAACACAGGGAGATGACGAAAAATTATAAAAGCATTCTAAGGGTGTCACGATAATCAAAAAGAGAAATTGCAAGCAATCAAATTATACTTAAAGAGGAAACTTTTCTTACGAACATAAATTTTCGGGATCTAAGAAAGGCATCTTAAATAACGTTTTTCTAAGCATCAGTTCTTAATTCACATATGTAACATTTTTCACCTGAAAAGGCAGTACCTTTCCTATAAAGATATTATTCTTATATATAAAGCGTTAAGTGCTGTCTATTAATTCGAAACAACATAAACCTTTGCATGGTTATCAGGCGTAGAAGTTGAACTTAGACACATATGCTGATAATTAAAGTGAAGTTCAACGGCTGATAGGCGGTCGTGGTGTCTTTTTTTCCAGTCATATGGCCCCTTTTTAAAATCCAGTAATAAAAACGCATCATAAATTTAAAAAGGAAAAAATAAAAAAGGAGATACAGACGGCTTATATAAAATTTTAGGGGTTGAGACAATGATGAATGATGGTGCTCTTTTTTCGGAATGGGGATTTAAATTTTCAAATTTATTTAAGGCTTAGTGGGAATTCATATTATATCGTGTGTATATAAGCCAGAGACAATTGAATAAAAGATATTCTAACAGTTTGTTTAAAGCTAGATATAATAACATTCCGGGGACTGGTGTTTCTGCTATCAGTAACAGTAGTAGCGATCTTAATTTACGGTCATTTGATTGCGTGCTCTTCTGATTATTCATATACACTAGAGTTCTATTAAACTGTTACACCCTATCAAATATTTACATAGAAAAAGTATATAGATTTCTGGTCATTGATTATGTATCTTTTAGTTAAATAGCTTTGACGTAAACGACTTACATTCAAAGTCATTTGGTTATGAATTATATAAGGCAGTTGTCATTCCAAATTTATTTCGAAAAATAAAGAGAAAATAAGGGTCAAACTTGACGTTTGTTTGTTTAGAAGCAACCGGGATGATGGAATATTATTATATTATTATATATTACACCAAAGACAACGAAATAAATAGATGGTCCGACATTTTGTTTAAAATCTAAGCTAAGAACTTGTTACGAACATTTTACGTTTCTGTTATGAATAACAGTAATAACGCTGTTAATGCGTAGACATTTAACAACTTGCTCTTCCATTCTTATTAATGGTATGAGCAAACATTTTGTTAATAGTTTCTTGATATGATGTCGCATCAAATACTCTCAAAAATTTGCAAATCAGAGACGTACACAATTCCGTGCTTTAGGGTGAATATTCGCTTTGCTATATATATAGGTGTATATGTAAGAAAAACCCAAATAGTAAATTTTATATTCGCCTAAATGCTTCGACATATTACAGTGAAAATTTTCGTATGAAGAAATATGAATAAAGTTTTTATTTGTAAAAAAAAAATTATTATGTAGATTATTATATATTATTGTTATTATTATATATATCTTTACCCAGTTTACTTATTTTATTTTATTAACTTTATTTGCGTACACGTACATTTGACATATTTCATTCCATTTTCCATATCACACATAAGTTATGCAATGCAAGAAGAAAAGAATATTACACAGAATCTGTTTTTAACTTCTAAGGCATATAATTTTATGCGTCATAGCTTAAGATTTAATTTAAGAAAATATATTTGTAAACAGTAGGTAAATTAGCCAAAATTGTTTCTGCCTACAATATAACTTTTTTTAACAATAAAACATTTCTTCAGATATTTTGATATCAAAAATTTCGTTTAAATTTGTGGAAACATTTCGCAAATAAAAAATTTAGAACTCTTTAATGCGAAATAAACGGTGAGAAGAAAACATATCATATCTGCTATGTATATACTTACTATTTGGTTTTTTTTTGAACGTACACACTTAAATGCATACCATAGCGAATATTCACCCGAAAACACATAATTAAATGTGCTTTTGCTTTTGTTATTATTATTATTATTTTAATTTTAGACTAATGAAATGAATTCTTAGACTAAAAAAAAGACATTGAGCACTAGCAACACAGGCTATCGGCTCTAATTTAAATAAATGGATATTAGATAGTGAACTTAGTAGTATTAAAAAAGTAATATATTGAATTGATATTCTGTTCTGAAGCTGATTGTAGAATGTTCAAAGGGTTAATCGTTCCAAATGCAATACTTCTAGCCGAGGAAAAGTTAAGGCAGTCGTAGAGAATGTGTTTTATAGTGGGAGTTTGTCCACATCTGCAGATTGGAGAGGAAGACTTCTTCAAGATCCATTGGTGAGTTGCAATTGTATGACCAAGGCGAATTCTCGAACATGTTTGAATCTTGGGTTTCTCAACATTTGTTGGATATAAAAGTGGAATTAATTGGGGGTTAATGGAAGAGTAGTGTTGATGATGGTATTTTAAATTTCCTTCTGCAATTTTCTATATAACTTTTCTTTCAATGTATGTTTGAAGATCCAACTTTTCCATGACATCATCCATAATTAGAGGAGCAGAAGCAGCATACTTTGCCGCTAAATCCGCCTGCTCATTTCCCAGTAAACCGATGTGACTTGGTACCCATAATATTTTACTTTTTCCGTCGGGTGTAGTAATTATATTCCTTAATTTGTTGATGGTG